TATGTATGTACAAAAGACGTAATTTCTGTTAGATGTTTAATGTCTCAATTTTTGTCAACTTATTTGGATATTATTAATAAGTTGACAAAAAGTAAGACATTAAACATTTAACAAATAATTATTTGGTAACTTTGGGTGTTTGAGTTTTGTATTTATATACTTTAAGCTGGATTATTAATTGTTGTATGTTTTCGTTGAAGGCTTTTAAATCAATGGGTCAATAAAATAAAATATAAGACAAGTTAAGTATATTAAAAGGCACTTTTATTTTCAAATTTTGTAATAATTCAGTCTTAAATTTCTCGCAAATAGACATAACTAATTACTAAATAGATACGGTAATAACAATTTTAACATTCTCGCAGACATATATATATATATATATATATATATATATATATATATATACACTTTACTTTTAAACGCTAAGACATTTTATTAAAATTAAAAGAACATCACAGAAACATTGACAGCTAAGTGCAAACATACATTTTTAGTCGTTATAAATCGCCTAATGTAATAAAAAGTAATTGCACTAATCGCATGACTTAAGTTTTTGTATTGCAAATTAATTAAATTCATATATTTATGATAATATTAATTACTAAGCGAATGAACGCATATGTGAAAATAACAAAACTCAGAGATACAAGCTACAAGTGTATCTGCAAAACGTAAAACATAATATGGAAATTTAACAAAAAAATAATTTATAAAAAAATTTTCCAATAAATGTAATGACACTATGCTACTGTAAAATGTTTAAGTTTGCCATAATGACCAGCACTTAATTGTTGTGGATTTTTCTGAATCTGAAGCTTATCTTTGACATACTTAAATATAAAAAATGGTAAACTTTTATCGACTATTATATTATCACATCGGTGAAGCGAACAGAAAATACTCACATAATTCTTAAAAATTATCTCTTTAAAGGTTGATTCAAGTTTGTTCTTATGACCATTTATATCACAAAATTTATATATTGCATCGTGAAGATTTTGTACCAGCATAATTACTTGATTACTTGGATAAGTTAGTGCATCGGTGGTAGGACACCGTTCCTTAGAAGTCGTGAACAAATGATGTGGTAATTGTTCTGTAGCAAATAAGTCGACTTGGCATTGCGAACAATCGTCAGGAATATGAATTTTTTTAATAACGTAACCAGATACATAACAAACCGCTTGACGAGCATCCGTGTTTAATTTTTCAAAATCCGTCCATTCGGGAATGCAATCAGTCATATTCTGATAATCTTCATTTTCATCCTCATTATTTTTTTTTGCATTAATCATGGTATTTTTAATAAAATTTTGAAAATTGCAAACATTTTCAGTGTAATCCTCTTTACAATTTGCGGACTTCGTAATTGGGCCAGAAAGATTATTTAATACGACGGTTTTTAACGCAGCTGTAAATTGATGGCACGTAGGAGCAGTATTCGAAACTCCATGCTGACGAATTTGGCAGAATAAATTTTCTATAGAATCTTGATTGAGATTCCTTAAATTTAAGTATTTTAAACCGACTGTTTTTAAAGTATTCCATAATGCAATAATCGATCTTATGCTTATTTCCCAACCTTTGACGAAATGGTATTTGTTTGTGACGTTCTTTCCAGTATTTTTATCAAATAATTCCCATTTTGATAATTGCGACAAAACTTTGCTCCATAAAGCTAAATGAGGCGAGTCATCTTGCAAACAGCAATTGTAAACCTTTCCATGTTTTGGTAATGTGCTCCATCCATTTAATGAGTCGAAAAGATTATCAATGAGTTCAATAAATTCTGCCGTTTGTAATGCTTCTGCCGGGAACATACCATTCATATTATTAACGGACCAAACGTTAATTGCATTTGCAACGCTTCGGCTCAACTGGCGTGCAGCTACTTGTACCTTCATTTTTAAATAAGTATCGTTAAAGTTAAAATCGCTTTCTTTTAATTTGTACAGCAATTTAAATGGAAATTATTGGTCGACTTTAAAAGCCTGATAAATATACTGGAATTAGCAACTTTATCTGTATCAAATTTTATAATCGACCGGAGCAAGGCG